TTTAAAATTTTGCTAGCGCGATGTAGGACTTAGCTTGTCATCGGATTCTGATAAGCACCATCTGTTGGTATACGCTCGAACTATCTTGATGTGAGGGCACTAAAACGGTGAATGTAACTTAATAAAGTATCCAATAAAAGTAAGACATCCAGTTACCAGTGCATCATTCAGCGCATCAACGAACTGATCTTCTGGAAGTTTCAGCAGTTGTTGAGCGTGGTCCTGCCAAGTACACCAGACCAGGGAACTTCGTTTAGAGTCCAGTGGAAGGATGGCGATGGGACCTGAAGGTATCCAGCGCTGCCAAGCTGTGGTGTTCGTACATTCCTGGGGGATAAAGAGAATAAAGTATATGCTAGTTAAACGACGTTTATGTAATAGGTAAGTACCTATATTTCAGCTGTTTTGGACCAGTTTGTGTTAGATACTTAATTGGAGTAAAACAACAAAGTTTTTATCAAAAAACCGTATAAACAATACCCAAAAATCGGACATCCACCGCTGAATGTTATACATGTTCAGGAAGTGCTAGTCAATTTAAATAACGCGACGTATTTCTACGTCTTAATGGCTTTACCTATAGATTAAATAATTATGCTTGTCTAAAGAATAACAAGTATACCTGCCGGTAGGATAATCGTTATTAATAGTACACTTGTTACCGGACAGCCTTGGATCAAGAATTGTTAGTATTTACAAAGCATAGTACCTTACCTACTTTATCTAAATAAACAACATTAGACTAGTTAGCTGTAGTTACTGTAAAAACTATTGAAATTAATCTAGGATCAAGATCAAAATTCATTCAGTAAATATTGGCGTCAATGTAGAACGAACGGATAGAGAAAATCGTTATAAGGCCATTTTTAAAACGATTATAAAGTTTTGAAGAAAGTAAGGTACACTGGGAGAAATACAAACCAACACTTCTCATCATAGACAACATTTTGTTGATCTTGACTATAACAAAACAACGACTCCGCTGCGTCTGTCTGTTTGCGTTGGCCTCAAAAACTGCTGAGCCAACTTTCATGCGGTTTTTACCAGTCAATAGAGAAATTAATGTGGTAGATGATATCGCGCGGGTGGTCGTACCTGTAGTAGGTACCTAAAAGTACCTAATTACCTATACAATAAGTTTCCTCACCTCAGCCAAGTTGAGTGTCGCTACAACGCCCATCTGGTCATAGTTCCACGATAGATACTGCACTCCCATTGCTTTACGGACCGCTGAATTAGCACCATCTGCACCGATCTGGAATAGACGGACAGTATTCTGATGAAGATTGGTTCAAGTTATATATGGACTGACAAGCTTACGTTAAAACACACGTGAATGACAGAAGAACTAAACAAAAAATAAAATCAAGAATACACGAACTAAAAATATATCATTCCAATTCAGGTGCATTCAGGGTAAATATTCAAATGCTGAATGCCCCAATTTTTTCGTTTCGCCGAAATTCATTCTCTATGGTTATTTTCAGTTACAGGAAATACTTTGAATTACTTAAACTTGTTAAATACAGACTACCAGCTACCTATGCATTTTTTAGTTATTTTTCACACTTTTGCCAAAAGTTGTACTACTCGAATGTATTAAGTAATTACGTTACAATCGACGAAGAGGTACCTTTTTAAATTTAAAAATATGGAATCACCCAAGAGAATACTCAACTATGTAGTAGCAGTAGATGCATTTAAAAAAAATTGCAGAATACGATTGAAAATTGTTAAATTTGGTAATATGACAGAACAATAGTGTAATACAGGAAATCATAAGAATAGAAAATTGGTTATTAAAATTCATAGTAAACAGATGGTGTGTCTGTGTAATCATTAGCTGAGGAGGTTTATTTGTGTATGGCGAGTGAGCAGCTTCGCAGCCGGTGCAGCGATATTCTGCGGTACAACAGTGCTGGGCGTCGATCCGCGTACCTGTTTGTTCCTTAAACGATCTAAGTACGCCAAGTGTTCGTGGAAAATGTCCACATGTGATCTGTGAAGTGCAGTGAAGGTGAAAGTGTGTTGCAATTAAATAGAAGAAACGTGGACTTCATCTTTTTGCTCTTACATAAAATAGTCCAATTGATTAGGCCTTGTTAGCAGAACCTACTAATATTAATATTTCATATTCGAAGACAAAATTCTTAAAAAGTATTTTGCTAAAAGTATTCATAGCTTCGCGTTTAGGCAAACAGAACGGTGTTCTGTTATAAAATTATTACTGATGCTAAAACCGAGCTTTTAACAAAAGTTACGTGATTGCTTACCTAGGTGATAAATCAGTCACAATTCAAAGACTAAGCTCAAAAAATTGCACTTTACGAGAACCTTATTAACAAAACTAATTCATATTGATTTGGTTTATGTAAATTCCGTAGGTTGGTCCGATCTGTTCACATGTAAAAAGGAAACGACAGTGAAGCAAAAGGTATTTTTAATTACCTTTTCGTTTGGAATTAGGTCTTGGAACTGGAACTGTCCGCATCATACGTATGATATTAAAGTTCACCAGGTTTACTGATTCGAATCAATGTTTAGAGTAGAACTCAGACACTACATAATTAAAAATTTTCTGATGTCTTCTTACAATGCCATACGTTTTGTCTGATATATTCCAACAACAAAAAGGTATACTTTTTGTTGTTGGAATAAATAACACGAAATAAGTATAAAATAATCTATGTAATAAATTACTTATAGGTAGTATCGGTTTAAGTAGATTTTCTTTCGATTCCACCAATGCATCATGCAAACACACAATGCATTTTTTTACTGAATGGTAGGTGATATTATTTTGTTGCTACGACTAGATCTAATCTTTTGCCCAGGAAAACCTAGGTATCAAGTGAAACAAGTAAAACAAGTGAATTTATTTCTGCAAATAGGCTACAAGGCAGCACTTTTACACGTCAATTTTATCAAGCGAACGATGAGGTCGACTATCATTTGAATGAAGTCAGTCCAATGATTAGGAAAATCCTGAATAGTAACAATTAGTAGGTACATAACTAGTTTTAATTAATTTATAACATTGAGACAAGATTTTTCCTGTACACACATTGTTATTGCAATGCATCGATTACATATTAAGATCCTTGAGATATTTTCCTTTATCGTTTCCTAGATTTACTAGTTTTACTTGGCTGTGATTAGCAAGTAGTAACTAAGACGAAAGTTAGGCTATAAAAGGTAGTTCCTTTATGAAAAAATCGATGCAAGAAACTTTAAGAAAGCGTTTTCAGTACGTTCGCGTTGCAATAAAAAGATACACGAGTTTAGAGGAAGAGAAAATTGAATCTAATATTTTGTGATGAGTACTCGGTACATAATTTTCTAGGCTAGACTACTGACCTCCCAAAATAAAGATTCTGTAGTATACTTCACAAGACATAATGTAAAACGTTTTGACCCGAAAAATTAAGCTAAGGACCAATTCACAAACGTATCAACTTTAGAGCTAGACGTATCAGGACATTGTCCACCATAAATAATGAAAAGTAAACCACAACAAATATTTTCCTAGTTCATCCCCACGTGCCATTTTGATTGCGAATAAGTTCGTTTTTTATAAATAGATTTTTGGTTTAAAATATTTTTAAGTTTGTTTATTTTACTGTCACTATTGTAGCGCATGTTTTCGTGTGTCATGGTCAAGAGAAAAATGTACAAGTTGTTCAGAGTTGTTAGTGTTTAGTCTTCAATATTAGTTTTAGTAAACCTGGTTTGAGTTCGGAGTTGTTAAAAACGAGATATTTTGTGTAGTTTACGACTAACAAGGCGAGTTTATTGAACAATGGTGGTATTTTACTTGAGTTTCGTCCAGAAATGAGAACATTTAAGTACTTATCATTCACTAGTAACAAATTAAAGTGAATGATGTATTGTATTGTGGTGTAGTTTTTACACAGGTACAAAGCTTGGCTATATTTCACAACGACAAAACTTCGAAGAATGAATATATTTTCCACGGCTCATATCAAAGATGAAATAAATGTCGAGATTGAATGAAAAAGTTCGTGGAAAAAGTTCGACTTCTAGTTCCCAAAACATCCGGCGTTATTCAGAAACTAGGACGTTGCGAAATGATCTATTAGGTCAGTGGGATCGATATAGAATTAAAAAGTGTTTGGTGAAGAAATAATGACGAGGAGCTCCTTAACTGGAGTGTCCACCGGCAGAAACCAGACGGGAGCACCATGATGCGAGAGTCGGTGCAGGAAACCTCAAACACGGTAAGCTGGGTGTATCTGGGTTTAACACTTTCTTGCTTCGCAATTAACATACAATTCTACATGTAGGTAGTGAGTCAACTGATGAAACAGAGCAAGTGTTGTTCTTAATGGTTATACCATACATTAGTGACGCGAACTCTGTATTTCCCTTAAGTTTACAAACAACACATTGTTTCACAAGATTAATTTATTGTCCACGTGAAAGGAACTCCCACTTCCATTCATTCTCTGTTCTGTATCAAAATTAATTTCTCGATATTTATTATGTTGAACGGTAGCAAGCTGGCTAGTTGCCGGTTTCCCGACATTATAAACAACAAAGAAACATTGAAATGACGAACATCGAACAAACAAGCCCTCACAAGCCTTTGTCTGTTTGCTTTAACATGTCAAAGATCATTTGTAAGCAAGGAGATTGGAATGCGAGCACATAATTAGTGCGATTTTGTAAAGATTCCATTTACACGAACCCCATCAGTTAGACGCATGTCTAAACAGAGATTAAAATAACCTGTGAACCTTGATGGTAACTATAATAAACGTGTAAATACAGTGTTTTTATGAAAATGTTGTGAATATTTCGGCCCCTTCCAAAAGAATGGCCGTGACGTCTACAACTATACAGTCCTGTTAAACACGCTCATTAAAATTTTAACGAACTTCTCGGAACCTAAAGTATTCAGCACTAGCGCCTAGGAGAACTGCTTTGATGTAGCTATACATTGTACTTACAATCTCCAGTATTGTTTTCAGTTTTTCAATTAAGTTAGAAAATAAATTGACAAACTGATGTATTTTCATATTTATTTGAGTAACTACAAGTGGGCGAGTATTATCTAAACAGCATCATTTATAAAACGCCTTGATTCCAGTAAGTACCTCTGCCAGAAGCATGCGGTTATGACGTGCTAATATTGGAAGTTTGATTTCATTGTTTGCATGTTTCACTCGTACAGCAGGTGGTTTTGGTCACTTTATGACATGGTGAATTTAGCAATGGATGTACAAGATCTTGAAGGATAATCGCTTATTCATAATATTACGACTTCTGGTCATCATTTTGTAGCCGTTTTGTTTTATGTATACTCTTGGTATCGCCATAAGACCTAGTTTATTGAAAGTTGTACAGTTATTGAGAGTTAAAAAGAAGATAAGTAATGCGAATAGTCAGCACCCTATTGTGTTTGTACGTAAGTTAACTTATGTATTTACTTCTAAATTATAAACAGATTCTGATATTTTAGTTCGAGATACAATTCTTAACACATTTGTTATGATGTCGAATACCGATGTAATCAACGGGAATCTGTCTCGAGAATGAAAGAATCCGGGCATTAGTTGAGTGGTTCCCAAAATAATTGCGTGGGCTTGTCGCGACACATGTGATGGTCATTGGTTGCGCTATCAAAACCATGCATTAGTACCTACATATGCATAGGACAGATAAAAAAAAATTGAACAAAAAAAATGTTTGGTAAAATTAACACAATAGATACGTTTGTAGAAACTATCTCTTTGGTAGAATGGTTTGTCTGGGATATCGGTTTGGAGAATGACGAAATCTGAGAAGCAATAATTTAGATTATTTCTCGTGTTATTATACTATCCATCGGCGGGGACGACAAGAGCGGGAGTTGGGTAACTTTCAGTTTTCAGTGGAGCGTGAGCACGCGCAATGATACGCTCATTCGCGCCTCGTCCGCGGGACACGGAAACACACGTTCGCAAACCAGAGATAAGAAGGAAAAAGGTCATTTATATTCCATAATAATATATCCATGTTATATTGAAATTTGTTATTTATACAACTAGGAACACATGGTTTACAGAGTAACTCGAAATGTGTCTGCGCAACATTTAGCAGCTCCCGGGGAACAAAGTAATTTTGCCACAATGCGGTTATATATCCTGTAACGAATCAGTTTTGTGTATTGCTTAACATTATTAAGATCAAAGGCGAGGCGAGTGACGTTAAATAATACTCAAGTTTTAGTGTTACAAGGAGTGTGTGTTGTCAGGTTTTCCGCGAAGGGAGTGCACGATGGTGTGGTGCTATGAGCCAGGTGGCCGAGGACACGGACGACGACGTCGATGCACCCTACATCTCCAGCGACGAGTCCGCACATGGTGTGGATCTCGCGGAACGGCTTCGAGTCAAACCATCACCAGATATTTGGGAACTAGGTAATTGCGAACTGTCTCTTTGTGTTATAATGTACTTATAGACTTAAAATAATAAAAGTAATAGTGCAAGCAATTTACGTAAGAATGTTTTCCTTTGACTCACCTTACTGATACCTACTCACCCAAGGAAAAAATAACTACATTCCTACATCAATTCCAATATTAGTGTTATAAATCCATTCGCGCGCGATGGTACACCGGCCCGCCGTAACATTTGTTTTCACCGCACGTGTTTCAGATGAAATTGAATACAACTTGCGACATCTCCCTCTAGCTGAAGAAATATCTGCTACTGTAGCGACAGGACACTACGACGAGGCAATAGAAATAGCAGCTAATGTAGAAGATGGAATTGTAACTGCTGGCTTATGGGCGTGTTGGCACGGCAGGAGCTCGCTGCTGTCAAAGTTGTTGAAGTTGGGTTTGGATCCAAACAGAACCGATGAAGCTGGGAGGTACGAACCACTGTTTATACATATGGATTCGACGATGTGTACGGGGTATAAAAATTCACAGAATCGTCTTACAGGTCATGTCTGCATTTAAGCTGTTTGGTAGGCAGCGAAGAATGTGCCAAACTGTTACTGGAGCACGGAGCAAACCCAAACATGTGGGACTCGTCGACAGACAGAAAAGCCACACCACTACATTGCGCCGCAAGCGCGAAGAGTTTGGCGTGCGTCAAGGTAAACAGAATATTTTTAAAGATGAAAGATGACCCACTAAAGTAATGTTGTAATATATTTAATTTATTTCCACAGGTGCTAATTGCTCACGGAGCGGACGTGAATGCAGGTCTCAACGACCGGTCTCCCTTACATTACGCGGTGCTCAGCGACGCGCCGGTAGTTGTGAAGGCGTTACTGGAAGCAGGCGCTTGTCCTGACACACCACAGGTGCGACCTGTTTTTGATCTTAAATCGAGCACAAACCAGATGATAAATCATCATTTAATTTAAATAAGACAATGTAAACGATCCAAAACAATATAGCCGCGAACCTGTTTAGGTCTTCACTGAAACTCCCTTGCATGTGGCGGCTTCTCTCGGGTCGGCAATATGCACTAAGTTATTATTGGATGCCGGTGCCGACGTCCGAGCAGCTTTGGGTACTGGTCGGGCGACCGCCTTACATCTTGCAGCAGAGGATGGCCATGCAGAGTGCGCACGGTTACTTCTTGAGCATGGATCGAGGATTGATTTACCAAACGTTAGAGGACAGACCCCGCTACATTTAGGTATATTCAAATTGGTACTATTTTTACAAATTTTACTTTAATGTATTATTTTGTTTCATAATTTGTTTATTTACGTTACAGCTGCATTAGCACAATCTCTGGAAGTGGTTGAGCTGTTAGTATGCAAGCGCGCGGATGTTCGTGCACGTGACAGCGACGGTCGCACGCCACTGCACGGAGCTATTGTGAGAGGAGCTCGAGCCTGCGACGTAGCCCGGACGCTGCTGTCTGCAGGAGCCGACCCGAATGCATCAGACAACTTCGGATACACACCGTTACATATAGCCGCCTTAAATGAATTTTCCGCCTGCGTGTTGTTGTTACTAGGTAACGAAACATAACTATAAATAGAAAACAAACTAACTGGCCGGTAATTAATTACCCTTCTTTTTCAATGTCTAAACTTTCGAAAACTTGTTTTAATGATTCACCATCGCATATATTTAGGTTGTTTATAGTACGTCGATATCTCAAAAGTCGAAACTATATTTTTCTTACTAATGTAGTGAAATATTTTCCAAACAATTCATAAATTGCTTTCAGATTATGGTGGCGACGTGACTCTGCGTACAAACGGTGGGGTGTCGGCGCTTTCGTTCATAGTACGTCGCGTGCCTGATGTGATCCCTCGATACTTGGGCAAATTCGACGATGCTGTTCATGTCAGCGAGCATGAGATAGGGGATGTTGACTGCGAACTGGTTATAGACTTCAGACCATTAGTTCCGTGCCTGAGTAGAGGTGAAGCTGAGCTCTTACTCGCTTTCATTGAGGTATGGAAACACTTTAAACCACAGGGTGGTATTACAGCCATGTTTGACGTGCCCTGACTAAAGGCACGTCAAACAAATTCGACGATCTACAAGTAACATGTACTGCGTTACAGGTTGGCCGTAAAGACGTATTGAAACATCCAGTTGCAGAAACGTTTCTGTTCTTGAAATGGCGCCGAATAAGGAAGTTTTTCGTAATGAGTTTCATCTATCATGCGCTGTTTATTACTCTGTACAGTCTCTACATTCTTCGTAAGTATTAAAATGGCGTACATCTTTATTGTTTGGTCCACTGGTGTGCCAATCACTTGATGACACCAGTATTGCTATGCCTTATTATGAAACTAATAGCTACTTCGCTAATTAAATAGTTCTGTTGTGCTCATATATTTTTTTCTTATTCCAGAGATCTTTCTATGTGAGTCCAGAACTTGCCACGTACCAACATATCTTCGACCAGTCCAATACCTCATAATACTACTGAATCTATGTTTCTTATCGAAAGAGGTATTTCAGTCGTGTTTAGATTGGTCAGCGTACATCAGACAATGGGAAAACTGGTTGCAATGCCTGATAATAATCGGCGTATTTTTATGTACGGTAAGATATGCAGCAAATGTTGTTTTTGGCACAATGGAGGTCGCTATAATTGAAATCGTTATTCTAAATTTACACTGGGCTGAAGTGTTTGATGAGTATAGTTTTATCTAGACTAGAGAAACGTATGAGACTAAAGACGTAAAAAAGCTTTAGAAAAGTGTATTATTTTAATGAATTTACGTATTTAATGTTACAGATACCAAGTTGGGATAACGGTGAAATAAGAACAAATACGTCAAGTTGGCAGCACGACATAGCAGCTATCACGATATTCTTCTGTTGGCTAGAGCTCATGATGATCATCGGTCGGTTTCCAACGTTCGGGTTATATGTCCAAATGTTTACTACAGGTAATTTTTAATACATTACAGTATTAATTTAGGAACATCAACTCTCAGTGGCTTAACTATACAGATAGGGGTTCGTGTAAAAATTACCTAATCAAACCGGAATCATAACAAATATAAATAAGAGAATCCAGACGGAAACCTCTGAACAAGGGTCCATTCCAGCTGATGGCCTGTGGCATTTTGTCGACTTTCCACCCTATAGTTATGCCACTGGAAATTAAAAAATAAGCACATGTCTGTCTAATGTAAAATTCTATCTCCAATTTGGTAATGTATGTACCTATTTCATACATATTTTTTAAATTTGTATAAAACACAAAAAAAAAATTACTGCTTCGTTGGCCCAGTGGTCGCAAGTGCGACTGGCCGGGCAAGGGGTCTCGGGTTCGATTCCCAGGTCGGGTAAAGTATTACTGGGTTTAAAAAAAAATCTCAGTAGTAGCACGGAGTCTGGAATTGTGTCCGGTATATGGAAGTAGTCTCACCCCCTATTAGATGGGATTCATAACATAAATAGTGAAAATTGGGTGTTACATTGTATAGTGGCGTAATGTGCACCTCTGCCTACCCCTTCGAAGATAAAAGGTGTGATGTTATGTGATGTTCTATTTTTTAAATTTCCAGTGACAGTGAACTTCGCAACATTTTTATTAGCATACAGTTGCTTGCTCATAGCCTTTGGGCTTGCATTCAGCGTGCTGTTTAGCAACTATGCTGCGTTCAAACTACCAGCCAGTTTGGTGAAGACAGTGATGATGATGTCGGGCGAGTTGGAGTACGAGGACATATTCTACAGTAACAGTACCACGGAGTCAGATTATCCTGTCACCGCACATGGAATGTTCCTCATATTTGTTTTGCTTGTCACTGTTATATTGACCAATCTGTTGGTTGGATTGGCTGTTAGCGATATTCAGGTATGCCTTAATCTTATTACTTTATGCTTCTAACCGGTAAATGTTTAGTGTATCGCTGTATTGTGTTCATGAAGGCTGAGTTTGGGCAAAATATTATTATTTTCGAACTGTAACCGGTTCTTTAAAAACTAAGATCTTGTCTTACCAACTGTATTTAAGGGCCGAAATTACAAGAGTATTGGAGTGAATTTCTACTGATGATAATAGATTGTTTTACTTTCCAGGCCCTACAAGAGAGTGCTGGATTGGACCGACTAGTCCGTCAGACACAGTTAGTTGCGCACTTGGAGAGTATGCTGTTCAGCTCACTACTGACTTGTGCGCCCAAGCAGTTGTTAGGCGTGTTACGCTGGGGGGCGCTACTAACTGCGTCGCATACACGCACGCTTACTATAAGACCCAACGACCCGAGGGAAAACAGGGTAAGAACTAACTTAATCCACTGGCGACAAATGCGCTATCTATTGAGGTGTTATACGTAATACCGAAAAATGATATTTTGAGTAACGTGGCGTCGCAGTGTATTGAAACACTCAACATGAATGAATAATGAATGCACATTACCACAAGTAACGTAATGTCATAGCCTCTCGAAAACTCATTAATTTTGAAAATTCATTATTTTGAATAACATGTCAATGATTGTACGCTATTTTACTCAGTAGGTACTTAGTTGTATTGTGAAGTGGACCTAACATTACCCATTATCTTTTGATTTCAGATTCCGAAAGACCTAATAACATCAGTATATAAAATGGTGGCCAGCCGGAAGATTACACAAAAAAGTATCAAACACAACAATAACTATGTTTTTAGACTAAAACGAAGCAAAGATGAAGAGGAAATGATTAAACAGAGTCAAGTAAAGAGAAGAAGTAATTTGTTTGACAGATATTCAGTAGAGAGTCAACAAGTTGAGAGGAGAAAGAAAACAAATTCTGCAAGTAATGCAGACAGAGTCAGGCCAACATCTCTTAATATAAACGCGATACAAGAAATATGTATGGTCGATATTAAAACCCAGTTACTAGAACTCACTAAGCAAGTAAATAAACTAATAGAGACAACAGAAGCAAAATTAAGTCGGATTGAGAACAAACTTAATCAGCCACCCTAAATAGATTTGGTATCTGAGCTCGAGCAGTTATTGTTAACAATACATTATTTGTTAATGTGTTCTATAGTCTAGTTATCTTAATACAAGTACTGGTGTAGGTGTATATTATGTATTTATTATATTATGTACTTAATATAATTCACCTTTATAATTTTATTATAAGTACCACTTTACTTAATTATAAGAAAGTCTACATTTGTTATTCAACCTTTGCAGATATATAATTTTAAATGAAATAAAAATAGTTTTATTTATGCAAGGTCAATTTAGATAATTGAATTCAATTAATTGAAATACACTAACAAAGATAATTATACAACACTTCATGTCTAGCTTGAACATTATAACTGCATTGTGTTAACTAATAAGGCCAAAGCCACAAAATCAAAAAATTAAATAATCAGGGCCCACATTGGGCCCGATCAGACCATTTGAATCCCTTGTGTCTTGTCTGATGACTTCCTAATGTGAGAAAGAATTGAATAAAAAAGTATTGCATTTCCCACACCTTGCACTAGAGTTTAAAATTAAAAGACCTATAGGTTACATGTAATTGAGTCATGATCATCATATCAACCATTAGAGATCCACTGCGAAACTTAGGCCACCCTTAATATCTTCCAGATTGTCTGTTTGGAAACTAAACAATAATAAAACTGCACTTACCAGGAGCTGACAAGTGTATGTGTCTCCATTAGCCATTTGAACATGACTTTTAACTCTGGAATTATCTTGTTTGGGTAATTGATAGCCGGCAATCTTAGCGTCATATATTATGCTGATATTGTTTTTACTTGATGCCAACTCTTGGTTGATAGCGTGCAGCAAGACATTATTCTCCACAATATAGGCAACATCATCATCAAGTAGTTCTGAGCTACTGAATGATATCATTGCATCTGATGATGCATCCCACACCTGAAAGGTAGATAACAATTTGTATGAAGAATAAACTATGTTTAATTTAAACTGTCAAATACCAAGCGGTCACCGGTGACCGCAACCTATTGTTCTATAATTGTGTCTATAATGACGGTACTCGATGAGTTAATGTCATTTTATATTAACTTAAGGGATTTTCACTAGATATATAAGCTAGACCAATGGACTTAGCTAGGTGTCAAGCAAAGTCTATTTGATACATGATTATTGGAGTACCAATATCAACCCTAAAGACAGGATTCTCCAATGGAAATAATTCTACAAAGACGAGTGATCACCATTGTACAAAGGACTGACTTTAAACTTTACTACTATTAACTCTTTGAGTATCTTATACATCAGCTTCGGCATATAAAATGGCATGTTGGTAGGGGGTCAAATTATTATATCCATATACTTACTTGCATGTACCTGACAGGTTGCAGTCTCATCTTCTCAACCCGTTGCCAAACATCCAGTGATGTCATCAGAGTTTTGGTGTTCTGGTTGAGGGCCACCACTCTGTTACTGTAATCCGTCTTCAATTTAAACTCTTTATTAGGGCTTCCCTCAAGAAGCAATACTTTTAAGTTTGATAGAATCGAATCTTTGGCTGAAAAAGGACATGCATATCTTTGTTAAACATTGTTGTTATGTGAAGAAGAGGTTTTAGACAAGACAAAAGAACCCAGGCATCAGATAGTCTTGCTAGACTATAAAGCATTAGATATTCCCAGATCCAAAAAGATAACGAAATTTGCAGAATACTACTTTGAATAGAGAGTAAATCAAAAGATAATAAATAATTGATTCATCACATTACATACCTACCCATAAGCATAAGGGTACGACACATAACCAAAAATAGGTACTGGCAGTGTTTAAGCCTTTGACTGCCGACAGAAAACAGTTGAAGGCAAATCCTCCGCTAAAGTTGATCACCGGTGACCTACGTGGCGGTTAACGTGTTAATATGTTTTTAAAGTTGGTTCTGATACATACCCATGGCACAGGCGAGGGTGCACCCTACCATACCGCCGCCGGCAATAATGACATCATAGTCTCCCTTAAATTTCTCCACTGGTTTTGTCAGACTGGTCACATCTTCTGCAGCACTAAGTGAACGAACACCTGTTGTTCTGATGCTGCATTTAATTTGTCGCACGAAAAGCCGCTTCACGCTGTTACTCAACATTTTGCAGCGAATTATTTTCAAAACTAATTTAATTCTCTGTCAAGATAAGGTAACCTTAAATTACATTAACTATTTCAATATCTTTCTACTAGAGAAACTTATTTTATTCTCTCAGAAAATACAGCTTTCAATTTATAAATACAAAATAATATCTACTTTAATAAGGTTAAAAATCATTTGTTATTTGTTGTGTCAATTGTCAACGTCATATTTGAATGTCAATTTGACAAATCAAAACAACGATGTACTTATTCCAATTTACGCTCATAAAGGTGCATAAACCCTACGTAACATTAATACTTTTAAAGTCACCGACTCCACAATATAACCTTTTCTTTTAATTATTACTAGGTTTTTTCAACGTCCTTGTTACGTCTAAGTATCAGCACGAAATTCGTAATGAATTGATTTCTATTCGGTTAAAGAACCAAGTTTCCAACTGCGCATATTAGGCATCCATAGCGACCATAATGACAACAAAAAATGTAAAAGCTGAGACAATATAATGTTTAAATTAATCAGTTAATAATGTTAGTGTAATTTAAATCGGTATGACCCATCACACAAGTGTGTTTAACAACTCTTGCTTAAGAGTTCCAGTGGATCCTATTAGTAAAATGCCAAAGTCTGCTTATGAAAGAAAGGATAAAATACGTAATCAACAGTGTTCTATTGATTCTTCTTCGACGTGTTCTGTTGGAGCAGCAGACCTGGATGCAGAAAAATTAAAAGACTTTTACCGAAGTATTCCAGACTACAATGATATAAATCATTTACCCACTGAGGAGTTTTACTCCACGTTAAAATCTTTAAGAGATAAAAAGAAAGTTATGCTAGGTCTAGCTATTGAATACGTAGACGACTGTAATGGACATGATGACAAAATACTGAATAATTTAACATTAGAAAACAGTCGGTTACCAGCTATGACAAAAAGCAGTAAAATCAAAGGAAATCGAATACCCAGGCGAAAGCTCTCTACGGGATCAAAAGATTCTAATAGCAAAAATGATCATAACAATCATCTTACTTCTAATTCTCTATCAAAACCAAGAGCTAATAATAATATTTCAGAGTCATGTCTTAAACCATCTGTTAGGAAGAATGTGGCTCCCAGTGCGATAGGTGAAAAGAAAAATGGTTACGAAGATGTAAAAATAGCTCCAATGAAAAGTAATTTAGAAAAGTCAAAGACCGAACGTCCTAAAAGAAATCACTCAGCTTGTTCTATTTCATGGAATGATGCTAAGTTTGAAAGTAAAAATGAAATTGATCAGAAGTTTGACGAGTTTTTCGATGGAAAAAAGTATAATAGTTGTAATAGTAAAGATTTTGACGGAGATGATTTTAAAACACAAAGCATGCCTTCAAGTCCGTTAAGATCAAAACGGTCTGGTTCCCCAACACGACGTAGGAAGAGCATAACAATTCCTAAACCCTTCAAAATGACCGAAAGGTGAGTATGATACCATAATTAATAGATAACTCTTCAATTAAAAACCTTTACGATTAAAATTTACAATTACACAATAAACGAAAAGCTGTGGATTTGAAAGGTACTTTCAACAATTACGGTAGAAAGTTGAACTATATTTAATCAAATTCAAATAACGAAAATACATGTAGAACACAAAGTAACATTAGCTGTAATGTGATTTTTAATTTTTCATAGAGATGAAGAAGACCGCATAGTTAACGAACTTCGGTGTCTTCGAAAATCGTTTTCTGAAGACATGCTTCACCAGAAGATGGAAAGAAAGAAATTTAAAGCGAGGCCGGTGCCAATTGAGTCCCGCATTCCTCTCTACGACAAGATCTTAGAGGACCAAGCTATGAGGTTTCCTTTCGACATGAAAACCTGTATGCTTCTTATTAGATTTCACCTTTTCCTTGATTATTTTGATTTATTACCCAATTAATTTTGTAAACGTTTGCAAACTGTTGTTTTAATGATTTGCGATTAGTTGAAACACGTTCTATCGTAGCTGGTTTATGTAGCAACGAGATTTACTTAAGTAAATAAATGTTTTATTATCGTTTTGCTACTTCACCTTAGCGCTTAAATATGTAGGTTCCTAACTTCCTAAAACCTGCTATGTATTTCGGAATTCACGATTTTTCCTTCTTATCTTAATAATTATTATTTCTCCACATTTACCAAATTGTACCTAAATACCAAAGCTTCTTAGCTTAAAGTGCACAAGTCGACGGGCTGTTAAATAAAATTCATGCTTATTAGTCTCATTCACATTTTTCAGACGAGCAATAACAAAAATAAATAGCGAGGCTGAGTTAAGGGCTCAGATGAAACCTTTTAGTTTTACAAAACGAGAAGAAAAGGGTCTTGGTGGAACGTGTGAACGAGCAATTCATGTTCTACCAAAAAGTAAAAAGAAGAAACGGTTTAGGGCTCGACCTGTGCCTAAAAACTTATTTTCTAATTACTTTTACGATAAAATGAGGGAAGATGACTTCTTCAGGTAATTGGCCATTATTATTTTAAATTCTTTGGACCAAATCATATATTTTCGTCATTTTGTCGCAAATGACTTCGGTACAAGTTTCTAAGAAATAGTTAATTTCTATTGATTTACATAGGTCTAAATATTACGATTACAGATCTATGAACAAACGTATAAGGGCGGATGAAATGTTGCGAAGTGCAAATTATCCTGGTACGATGGCTGCTCGGGACCGCAGTCGTCTCTCAACACCAGCTGCTCATAGTGACCTGCCCATAGACCCTTCTCCAGGAATACCGTCTATATCATCCTCAGATAGACAAAGATGTCCGAGTCCTACGAAAGATCGGAAGAAAAGAAATAAAAGTCAAAAGGAAGAGTTCATAACTACGAGCCCTCAACCGTTCCGATTCAATACTGCAGATAGGGCTGCCAAGAAAGTAAGTTTCTATGTTTCATCAAATTCTTAGTAAGTCGGCCCATTCTTGGGTTTTGGTCTCAGAATGGATCCAACAGCATAGCTGTCGGGTTGAGTGTATTATTACACAATATTTTTCATTTTAGATGCACGATGTGACAATGAAAATTTATTCAGAAAATAAAAGCAATGAGAGCACCAGTGGAGCGGGGAACGGTCCAGGGGCTCGAGCCTACTCAGCTCTTGACCTTCGAGCATCTGCATCAGGCAGGTCTAATCTTGCAGCTCTACTAAGAGCTGAAGCAGTTAGAAGGAGGTTCGAAATGGAAGCAGCTTCTCGATTGGCAGAACAACGTCGTCGCAACGAGATGAGATTGAGGGATCGCCAACTACGATTGAAACCCGCTTGGCATCTTGTCAAAAACAAGTTAGTTTGCAACATAAAAGAATGTCACTTGATAATTTGAATTCCAATCTAGTTTTCGTACTGTTGTTGTTAGCCTTTGCTCAAATAATGAACTACTTAATAGGTATTTTCTAAAATGCATTTTTATAGTTTGTGGTTGCTATATTTTTTTAAATTTTATTCATTATAAATATAAACCGATTTAATTCATTAATATTTTTTATACTAATAGCGACGTTAACCGCCGCGTAGGTCACCGTGACCTACGTTAGCGGAGAATCTGCCTTCAACAGTTTCCTGTCGGCAGTCAAAGGCTTAAGGGGGAAGCTATGATATAGGATCATTATCTGCATTTCTCTTATTTTAGGTACCATACAAATATAACAATCGAATTAGGTTCATTCCGAAAGGTAAATTTTTATTTTTAGTCACGAGGAGGACATTGCTATGCGGCTGCAAACTCGGCGTGACGAGGAGAGAATGAGACGAGAGGAGTTTCTTCATGAGATGGAGCTGATGTATGGAAGGGTGCAGCAGCAACCAATGCTCTTCGAGAGGTACTACGCACCACGATCACTGTCAGCTCCTTTAGACTCTTTGCAACTATCTCCGAGGAAGTGCACGAAGAAACGCAGTTCACGGAACAAATCTTACCACTACAATAGTCCAACTCGATCTCGTAAAGTATCGATTAATGATACAGCGGAAACGTACACTGGGGATGTGGCGGAGTTCTTAAATAGAATCGATATCGATGACAAATACTCGGACTCGGAAATTGTTACCGATAGTTTGGATAGAGTGAAAGTGTGATTTCACTTAGGATTTTATTTAATTTCCATTTACGCACAAGGACCTAAGATAATATAATCAAATGTTTGGTTAATCAATAAATGTATACCTATTTAATATCTGTATGTTCATTTTATTCTGTTTCTTCTGTCACAGGATTTTATTGAGAAAGCTCCTAAAAATAAAAGTCCAGATTTAAAATAGGAACTATTTAATGAAAATATTTACATATGCATGTAATATAAGATAATACTAAGGTAACATTTAGACTAGATTATCTAATATAAATTTAAGGAAGTATGCCACTGAAGCGTAGACTCCAGGCTTCTTGATACCACATATTGTGGGGCCAAATGACACTACTCCGACCAAATAGTTTTTGGGACCTTCGGGCGTGTCAAAGACCTGAAAAAAGAAAGTAAGTAGATTGTATTAAACAAAGACTTTTATTTTGCGGTCTATACTGAATCGTTGCATGTTTGGATTCTTCTAAGGCCTTTGACTTTTTGAATTTATTTGATTAACTCATGCTTGGAACACATTACAAAACAAGGCACCTTTTATGACAAAATTGCCCTCAAACCAAAGTTAAGTTGAAGAATTATCTCGTTTATTTCTTTTAAAACAAAATAATAAGTTTAAATACTAGTAAGGAAATATCAAAGTTGAAGAAACAGGTTGAATGTACACCACAATTTCCTCAACATTTAAATATCACCATAAATATGAAATAGTTATCAATCTCAACTATAATATATTGTAAGAAATACCTACCTTACCTAATATACCACCTACATTACTGTGTCAAATCAATCTAATCACCACATCGCCAACTTGTCAAGGTGAGAAAATTGTAAAAAATATATAGTTGTAAACATTGAATACAGGTACTCACATACACACACACCCACACACACTTAACCTAATAGGAATAACTATATCTGGCTTGGTGTGTTAAACATGATAAGCAGAAGACTATTAATTTGCGGTACTACCATATAGAATGTAAACATTATGTAATGTATACATTGGTATTAGGTATTCACGTATTTATTATTTTAAAATTAACTTTAATGGCAACGTTAAACCTCATTTTAAACCTTTACGAAAAGAAAGTTACCTTCATGAGTGGACCTCCTGAGTCACCACCGCAAGCGTCCTTATTATGTTCTGCACCCGCGCAGATCTCTGATTCGAACAATTTGAATCCTTTACCGAACGAGTCACACATCGTAGGGGCTACTACTGGTATCTAGAAAAAATATTGTAGTCCTCTAGAGATCTTATAGTATTCTTAGTATGTTTTTAGTTATATATTTCAACTGGACTACTTATTTAGGTATGGCACTTTTTTAGTCAAAAATTAATGAAAGAAATTTTTTATAATAACATTAACTAACGTCTTATGTCCTATCTGAGATTTTATTAATGTAAAGTCAAACTACTTTTGCTACCAAAGAATCATCGTCATCAACAGCCTCCAACGATTCACTATTGGACTATATGGGCCTTCTATACAAAAGAGGGTTTGCTCTAATCTCTACGTTTCCGAAATATGTTTGACTTAGGTAAAGTTTGCCCTTCTTTTTTTAATGCAAATAATTCAGAATTTGTAAAGATCTTTTAAATTTCTTAATTACAACTTATTACATTTTCGTCCTATTGGAGAGGCATACGTCGAGTAATGGACGGAAATGGCCTAATGATGATAATGTTATAACAATATACCTGAGTACTTGTTAGTAAAACAAGAACTTACATTTACAAACTGTAACACTTTAGCTCGTTCTTCTGTGGTCATGTTCATCTTCCCCCAACCAGCGACTGTCATCTCATCTCCAATTTTAAAGTTCATTAGCTGTTCCGCTGTGCGGGGCAGGCAGATAGGTGCCACATAGTCTTAAAACAATCATTAGATTACGTAAGTTAGAAATACAATGGACTAGCTTTGTAGGTTACGTTAACTTAATGTTACTTTTGAAATTATCCAGAAAATGAAATTTCTCCAACTCTCATTAAAAACTCCCTTTTTGACATTAGCACATGAGTACATTTTTGCTCCTCTTAAATTCTCAATGAAAATTATGACCCTTTCAGCTAAAAAAGCTTCACCACGTTTAGCGGTTTTGGCGTGGTGCTACTTGCCAGCCACTCAGTACCTTTAATCACTCTACCTGATTACCTGATTACCACCCGCCAATAACATAAGAACTTTAAAAACTGATATTTTAGTTAAATTCATCTCACTATTTAATGTAACTGGTTTATCCAACTCGATAACGGCAACGTCGTTGTGGAAGGCGGGCTTGTTGAACTGAGGGTGACTGATGATCCTCTTGATTCCTCGATCCTGTACTGCAGGAGCACATACTTTCAGTTCACAGTCTGGATCCGTCCGCGTATCATGTTCACCTAATCGGACTGTGGTTCTGAAAGGATAATTGTGGGAAAATTTTAAAGTACCACTAATGTGCAGAATACTTCACACATCAATAGTCCGTGGCACTATGCTGTTAGACTACATGTCTTCTCTAGAGTATAAAAGGGGTTAGTCATGATCTTCCCGCTTGGCTGACGGATTGGAGTGGAGATTGCATTTAAAGGGACCCGATTAACAGAGATCGGGTATAAGCGCTCTCTGACGTGTGTATCTTTCTGTTGTATCCAGATAGCTCTATATACTTCCAATTTTTGGTGGAATTAGTTTGGTGAAGATAAGAGCATAATTAATAGAAGGTACGTAGGTAATGTATTATTAATCGGGTTTTATTTATTCTCGTGCCAGATACAGCATTTAATATGATTGTCGATTACAAAATTGTTAGTAATATCACGTAATCTGGACTGTGGTTATGCCTAGCCTCGAATATTAGGAACTTGACAAGAAGTTTATCTAATAAAATATGCATAAGTATCTATATAAAACAAGGTCTAAAATATTTGAATGTAGATCATAAAATTCAACTATGTATTTACAACAAATTTAATATTAAAAAATTATGAACTGGTTAAAAAAGATATGACTTGATAACTTAAATGTAGGAAGACAGTGGTTAGCGGATGTCCTTGAGTGGATAACCTTTAATATTAGTTACTGGTTTTCAAAAACGAGACTAGGACAGACGCTAGCACGATAAGCTACCCCAAGAAGTCAAAGATTTTACACCTTATTGCTTAATAAATAGAATTGAAAACTGACTGGAATTGTTTGGGTATTTGGACTTACAAGACCAATCCGTAGTCTGATTTCTGTACGCAGTGGGCGGCAGTGACCACGTGGCGGTCGGTGACCAGGGCACCTCCACACATATAGTCTATCTCATCGTCTTCTGTGAAATTAGAGAACAAGATGTTATATATTACTTTTCTTAGTTAGTCTACTAGACTTAGGATAGATCTAGGCACATTAGTTCCAAGGCTTTAATCGAGATTTTAATCTCGAGATTCTCAGAATTAAGATCCCAGAAATTGTTTTTAAAAAGAAATTAAAGTAGCAGAGCGACAGATGACGCGTCGCGAGTCGTGGAATGCTGCTCATGAATATGAGCCTCTAGCATGGCCTGAAACTAGTCGAGTTCCTGAATTTCGTAAACTGAAAATAATAAAAAAAATATTAAGAAGTGGCAGGTTATAATTTATAATGTAGATTAATTTTCCTAATATCATCAACAAATGTGTTTATACTAAGATAGGATAAGACATCCCTTCATAAGCCTGCCATCTTGCAAACTTATTATCTTTCATTTTAACAGAAATATAGGATTGTGAAAAAACAAACAAAATCATCGGGGAATACCAAGCAAAACATTTCGAATGTCGATGAGTAAATAATTTATTCAAATTCAGTGCAATTATCTATGTCGGTATACCTAAGTAGATAAATGAATATAATTGAACTCCGACTTCAATAATACTCAAAATGATTACTAACAAGATAATGATCCACTAAACGTTAATGACGTCAACCTCATGACGTCACATATATCCGTGATGCCGTCACCTTAATGTTACGTACATTTCTATTAATTAATTAATATTTGTATTAATCATTGATTCATAGTAAGTGATAACTATTAGTTACATTTTAAGGGCTATTAAAATAACCGAGCATAGATAGTAAATACCGCTGACCATTAGTTTGCCAATCCGGGTGTTAGAGGAATTTTTCAAATTCTCAGTAATAGTACTGAGTCCGTATTCATGTGCAACTGCAGTTTACTCATTACCAATGGTACCAATGGGGCCTACTGTATTATTGCTCACTAGATGGCGCTATTGTGAATCTATCGTTATTCGTCCAATAGGGAATGACCTGGTGTCACACCATTGGACGTTTAATATTTGACAGCTGCTGTGATTAGACAAAAAAATCTCTGTTTTTTATACCACGACGGTGGCAAAAAAGTACACCGCCCTGATGGTAAGCGGTTACCGTAGCCCTTCTTGAACCCCATGTTGTAGCCCACTGAAAAAACCACGGCAGGGACTTAATTCCACAATCGGAGGATCCGTGGGAGGAAATTCCTCTTCCAACTTTTGTGCCATTTGGTGGGCAAAAAGATTACCCCCATTCCATATACCATTACTAGTAAAGAGTGGGTGTTGCATTGTATTACATATCTTTACTAACTTATTACTAACCAAGATATCCAAGGCGTGCTATCCAGGGGAAGTCGCCCAGCCCAGCATTGAGTCCACCAATGATACGATCTGCTGCACTGTCGCCACAGTCCACGGCATCCAGCTTCGCCCATACTGGGTGCTTTGATATCTCTTCAGAAGGGATCTTGTCATCTGTTTAGATTGTAAAGATTTATTTATCGTTTCTTAAAAATTGTAGTTAAAATAAATTATTCTAGTAAGAGTTAGACCAACGAAACTAATAAAAAATAAACGTTGTCTATTGGTATTTTAGAAAAGCTTTTAGCTCGTTTCAAAGTATACCTTCTTATGGTGAGACAGCAAGAAACCTTACTCTTAAGTACTATATTATAAACCGTTTTATAATTCCCTATTATTAACATTACAAATAAGTTTCATTATCTTATTATTCGACGTAAGATTTTGAAACAAGTTAACCTTTTGACATCACAGCTACGTAACCTTAAATGAAAATAGGGTGTTAAAACTTGAACCGTAAATAAATAAAAAACGATATTGTTTTGTTTATTTCTTTCTTTCATAATATTATTATCTCTCCTCTCCTATAATTTAAGTGGACTACAATCTGATCAACCTTTAATTGTATTGTAATATAAAATGACAGTACAAAATAACTTCGACATCACATAGATTTGGAGCATGGTTCATAATTTTTTGATTGGTTTGTGACCATCAAAAACTTAATTAATCTGATTTGTCTATTAGGAAGATGATTGTTTAAAAATGGTCCAATGTATTTGACCTTAATGTAGTTAAGTTTTTTTGTCTATTTGTCAGTCATTTTCATTCTACTTATTTACAAAACATAGTTTGACGGAAAACTGTATTGATGGCTTTTGGAGTTCCAAATAAGAATGTTCAGGTATTTTCATTAAATAAAACGGCTGATTAGCGTAACTGATTCGAGGAGAGCGCCCTTTTGTGGCTCGAAACCAGTCGAGTACTCCTCTTGAGTTAGTTATACGAGTAAGTCGTTTCGTTTATTTTTGGTTTGCTACAGTTGCACCATAAATGCGTAAAATATTCGTAATTGCAATATGCTTCATTAAAGTAATTCAAAATATTTACTCTTTATTACAATAAACATATTGCATATTGAGCAACCCCTCAACCATACGAAGTGGATAATGTGAACTAAAGTAAATATTGTGATACAAGTATTGTTATAAATATTGGTTTTACGTCTTATTATTGCAAAAATATTTATTTACTCCTGGTATTTTAAGTAGTTAATAGGAAGGTAAGTAATATCACAATTATGACTTATTCTAGTACTCCATACTTAGCGAATCAAACGTGCACACGAAAGGCATAATTTACTTCCTAAACTGCTACGGAAAAATAAAAAATAACCTACAATAAAAAAATAAGTAGTAGTATGGAGTATAAGATTAATTTTTACGCAAGTAAGGTGCATATAAAATATATCGGTGGGTAGTATGAAGCTTTGAATAGCGACCTGTTTTCAAGACGGTTTAACTTAACTCATGAAAAATATAACTAAACGAGAACTTAACGAAAATATTGATATAAACAAATTAATAAGTAAAGACTTAAAACTTAAACATATAACAGCAATAGTAAAAGTACATACATTAGTTAGGTAACGCACTTTATGCGTTTGTGCTGCCACCTGGCCAACGCGAAAATGATTTTCATTAGCATGTTCAGTTATGCTGAAAATAATCTTACGATTTTATATGCGCAATTAAATATGTGCAGCGGTTGACTATAACTGACATTCTATGCTGTATATGTTGCGTTTTATTTTGAGAAAAAAAAATCCAGATAATAATAATGACATGTTTTACATATATTTTCACACTATTTATGATAATTATGTGCCTTATTGCATGAAAGCAATAATAAGCAAACATTTTAGACATTGGTTAGGATAAACACCGTCTAATCAAATGGTTTTAAGAAATCTTAGATTTTATACAATTTTCCTAAGTTTCAGTCTTAAATAGGTCGCTACAAAGCTTCATACAGAGGTGTATTTCAAAACCCAAGCAATTCGATTAAATAAATATGGTAAAGAATAGAATTGAATTCTTTTGTATAGTTTAACTCTTCTTTACCATATTTGTTTGGGTTCACAAATACACCCAGAACCCACCTCTGATTTGTCTAAGATTATGATATCTCTTAAACATGTTGTTGTTTAAATTGCGCCACGAAATCCAGGCACCTGTGAAGCCAGTCAATATATTATTCAATGTTATAATACATATAGATTTTATAACACTCTTGCAACCTACTCATTTATTTACGGTCGAAATTAATATCTACAATAAAAAATCTTCTATCCAAAAAGACAGATCCAGAGATTTTGGATCATGATTGACCGTTAGCCAAGTTGACAAGGTATCAATCAATTACGATACTTCAAACTCCTCCGTTATCGAGAGACAATTGCCGACATTTTCGAAGATGGAAAACCCAACAATAAAGCCGCATTTTTACTATATCGGACAGTTGTTTCGCGACTATATCGCTCGATACGAAATTCACCTGTCGATGTCATCCGACATCTCTGTTCTGGGTCTGGAAATGGCGGTAGTCCTCGTTAGGCGACATTCTGACCACAAGTGGCCAATATAAACAAGCAAAATGTCGAGCGACATTGTCCCACAAAGTTGCAGGGACATACCACGTGAATGTGGGGCGATATCTCTATAGTGAAAACTCGGCTTAATTAATTTTGAATTGAAATTTGAATATTACGTTTGAATTCTATTTTACAAGCGTCTAACTAGAATTTTACCAATAAGTACCTATAGATACATTGTCTATCCAGTGTCTCTCTATAGATAAAGCATCTTATTTCCTTATAAAATGTCGTACTCGTAACAATGAACTAAAAGGGATGAATCATAATTAATTCAAAGAACAATTTATGGTAAAGTTTATTTTCTAGTCTATACAAGCAACTTTGTAAGTAATTCATTTTACAAGATATTTCAATTAGTGACGTGAACATTATGTAGTACCACAAGACATGTGTTTGTCTAGTAAACAAGTACACAGACACTAAGATCGTTTATCAATTTTCTTTAATACATTTTCTATTCTATTCTAAGATTATAAAGTTGAATATCTGTTGTTCGGTCATGATCTGAGATTAATATCGGGGATATACCTGATCCCGAAGATATTAAACACATCATAATGTGATTTATAAATTAACCATTTCTATGACGGAAATGACTAAACCTTTAATGGGTCTGTTTGTAAAAAATATGGTGGTTACTCATAAAATGTATCATTACTAAACCAGCAAATGATTTGGTTCGAATATCTGTCGAAAAATCAAATTAGTCTTTGATGTGTTTGGTTCTAATTATGTACCTACTACCTAATAATGATTCCATCATAATAAGGAACCATAACAAATTAAAACACAAATTAAACATTTTCAACAAGTCGAATTAAAAAAACAAGTGACATTAAATCAAGTCAATAAACACAGATTGAGAACAATAATGAATTAAAAACAAATCGATTAACTCACCCATGGCGGCACAATGTAGCATGATTGTAAAAGCAAACGTATACCGCCAATCGAACAAAAACATAATTAAGTACTATTTGTTACCCGATTAATATTTTCGGACTAATATAGTTGCGAAGTTTATTGTATGAACAAATGTTCATGACTGCTCCGTGTGTCTCGCCAGTTCTCAGTTCATACGTGCAAGTGCTCAGCGTATAAACGATATTAGTTACGCGTGTTTTCTGCTCCGTGCTCTCTGAATTAGGGTAGCAACTAAACATTACCGAATACCAGTTCTATTGGTAAATATGACACAAAACCCTTTGCAAAATACATATTGCGTATTTAAACAAAACTATAATAGTAGAATTTTCTTCTGAAACAATGAACGAGCCGGTCATTAGTCGTACCTATAGAGCAAAGAAATCTTTATTCAATCAACTGTTTGCTTGCGAAATGACTTAGGGAAATGTCTTTATCTCTGCACGAAATGGTGTGGTTCATTATAATTAATGTGATAAGCAAAATAATAAATAAAAATATTTTTTCTTTAATTAACTTACAGTGGTATTAACGCTAGGTGCATTTGCAGTGCGGTGAGATTATAATTCATTTTCTTTGAATAAGTAAATTTAATTTTAATAATCCCTACATTTTCTTTCAGTAAAACATTTCACAGCTTATCTACTCAGAAGTAAACCTTTGCCCTATACTCCTACTTAGGTACGTAACGAATATAATTTGAGCTGAACACACACGTACCTACACTGAACTTAAAATCGAAATACTAATTTGCATATTTAATTATTATAAAAACATTTATTTCAAACGTTTCCTTATAATAGTGACTCGAGCGGAATGATTCCTTTACCTTACCTATCTATTTTTTAACCGACTTCAAATAAAGGAGGTTATCAATTCGATATGTATGTATATGTATAATATTTTCAGAATTATCATTTTTTACATATGTTAGTCTATATCAGCGTCTGAATAAATGTGCCAAATTTCATAAGTGCACTGTATATATGTATGTATGTATGTTTTTATGTTTGTTCCCTCATATCTCCGAAACTACTAGTCCAATTTAAGTATTTTTTGTTGTTGTTATATGTATTATTCAACATAGGGAATACTGCAAGTTTCATCACAATCGTTTCAGTAGTTTTAGAAATAGGGAATCTTAACCAACTCTTTTTTAGATTTATAATTATTTTACATTGAAGTCGGTTGTACTGTTTTTGGAAAAAATACTTGTTACAATTAGAATCGTTACAAAGAAAATCGTCAGCGTAGGTATCGTATTATCGTCTGATTTTTCCCTTCATCTATTCATGACTGATAACTGCTTTCTTATAAGTATCCATTGCTTAATTTTATATTTCAGTAATTCATTGTTTGTCCGTTAATCAGTAAGTATTGACCTAAAGATTGGTTTAACAATTTAGCTTAACCCCATACATTTCTGCTGTACAAAATATGATATGTTTTTGTGTCATGGAATGTATACAGGATTCAAAATCCTTTAATATGTACCCTAAGGTTAAAGTGACTCGAGTAGCCTTTTTGTTTCAATATAGTGCACCATTATAATAAACGTAGTGTTAAGATTACTACACTAGTGACATATCCCTGATTTGGTTCTTCATTATTATCTATACTTTCATCTGAAGATATTTTACAATGAAAGGCGAAAGAGCATTGGTACTCATTTTAAAGGCCAGCGACGAACTGGATGTCGTTGTGATGTCCATTAGCGGCACTGCAGCTGTAGCCAAATGCCTTTTAGCGCTTGTCTACATGTAGAATACAAAACCAAATTATATGGAATTGACGTAAATTTTGATACTTGTGTGTTCAGTGTTCATCCCTATACATTTAGTTTTCTACTCTCTCTGTGGACAAGCGCTAAAGTGGCGTTTGGCTAAAGGGACTGAATACCCTCAGTTGATGCGTCAACTCATTTGACGTTAACAAAGAAACGTAGTAACAATATTTTACTTGTTACTAGTAGCTCAGTGAATTGTAAAGCTCGTTTTCATTAAAATCCACCATTTTGCTTATAAAATAATAATACGCAGAATATCTAACATCATAATTTTTAAAACAGTTGTATAAATAACTAAAAACTAAAATATTTACAGTTTACACATTAAAACAAAAAACAATAAAAAATGTTACCTTAGGGCATCAAAAAATTTTCCTCATCGCTATCGTGAGGTAGGGCCCAAAAGACTAATAGCATTGTCATGTCTAATGAATGGCAATGCTTAACCTTTGCCCAAGGTAGTAGCCAACCTTTCAATCACCTGAACTGTCAACCATCCTCCTTACAATATCTTTAGCTGTATAACACATTATTTTATATGACTGCACGGTTGGTGCGGTGGCTCGGCAACCGGCTGCCGTGCAATGTGTCGCGGGTTCGATTCCCGCACGGAACAACGCTTTGTGTGATCCACAAATTGTTGTTCAGGGTCTGGGTGTCATGTGTATGTGAATTTGTATGTTTGTAAACGCACCCACGACACAGGATAAATAGCTAGTGTGGGGCGACGTTTTTAAAAAAATAGTAAAAGATTTTCTCCTAGTCGATTGGCAGGCAACTTGGACTTTATACTCGACAAGTAAGTCAACAGCATTCATTAGATAATAAGGTACGATATGGTTATCGTATCCATATGGAAAAAATCCCAATAAAAATAACAAGGGGAACAAAGTCAGAAAGAATTTATTCCTTTCCTCATGTGGTGAAATATATATGAAATCATTTCTTACTTATGTATGTTTTTGTAAATAAACAGGTCTAACTGTTTACTGTCTGTTTAGGTTTCCCCATCAGCCAAATCCAGGAAAATCATGTTAGAAACCAATAATATACATTACATATCTCCGGAATATGCTAATTAATTGCCTAAATAATATATATTTAATTACTTAAACATTTATCAATTAATTAAACAGTCAATCTTATCAATTGGTATAGTGACATACTTATACATACATAATATCATTGCTATTCTTGCGCAAGCTTTATTCTTTCTGAAACCCTTTAAGTCGATTTATATTAAAAATAAAAAGTTGTAAAAGATCTGATCATTTAAATCTTATTCCCTAATAATTGATAGTTGATACAATTCGTTTATTTCGATTATTTAAATCTGAGGGAGGTTCTCTAATAGAAAATTGATAATTAACCAACGAAGTTAATCTTGTCAACCAGTACCATAGATTGAACAAAGAAAAAATGTTATTTTTCTCATTTGTTACTTGCCTTTTTGTGCCTTAGACCGCTAAAATGTTTAACCTTCTTTATTAAAATTGTATATCTATAACATTTATTATAGCCGATAAATCCCCGAATTTGCGGAAGGTCGAATAAGTTACATTAAAAAAAGAAATCATCAAATTTTTATGCTCTGGAGATTCCTTGTTCTGCTTCTTACGTACTTTCCTTAACAGTTCCGAACATTTTGCATCCTACATAACGAGTTTCATTTCAAGCTTTCGTTCAAGTAAAAAGTTTTACGTCATTGAGGTTTCAAACGTCACTGCATAATGGTGGGCTTTGAATACCGTTATATAAACTTCCTTCCTTCTGATTTAAAAATAAAAAAGCGATGGACGTCGGTTACTCTAATAACTGACGTCATAACTGTTGGATGCGTAGGTACATGAAGTTTTTTATCATCAACCGTGACGTTCATCCTGGACTTAGAGCCTCGTCTATAATCTCTAAAGGGTTGTTATAATCTCCAGGTTTAGCAGGTGTGTTAGCACCCTTGTTTTTGGGGTCCCATAATCTGCTCTTAGGTACGACATCCATGGGGCGCACGGGTGCAGATGATGGCCACCGGGGAGACCACTGAAAAGACTAAGGTCTTTTCCCTAAAAAGTCTTTGTAAGATTTCCCCCTTCAACAAAAAAAAAGTTACGACATCCACGGGAAAAGTAGGAATGATGACATAATTAAATGTATTCTACTCTGTCGTCAATACATGGTTAACTAAAGTTTCTCACACAACTGCTTATACTTGTTAAACATGGATGAGTTCTAATTCCAAGGTCCTCTAACTTCCTGGTTTGAAATTAATTCTTGGAACCATTTAATTCTCTGCAGCCTTTTAACCACATGGTTCCAATATACAACGAACATGAAACACCTACATGAACCAACAATCCAGTTTGTCATGGTCTCGCTTCGTGTGATATTTTCGCCCACTTAACGGTCAGTTTATACTGGTTTTTTCATAAATGTGTAGCCGGAATACAATATTTTTTACGTATACTTATAATAATTTAGAAGTGATTTTCTATTTTTTTACTACATTAATCTGAGTCAATGGTTATACTTTCTAGGAAAGTTATGGGAGTTTGTAGATGAGTCACATTAATTTAATTTTTTGGTTCTATAACTTAACTGTCGCTTGTGAGCACGGAACAAAAAAAAAACAGATTTTCTGTTCCGTGCTTGTGAGTGTTGCTATTTTTGGCTATTGATTTCTTTGTGCAGATGAAAGTTTAGATGTGCTACAATAGAAAGTGCAATTCACAGCTAAGTTTATTGATGTGCTAGGCTGTTCATTGTATTATGGTACCTAAGCATCTGTACCCAGAACAAGATTTTTCAATCTATGGACTCAAAATGCAATCGAGTGAATTTCGTACCTATGTCCTGTCTATCGAATGATTGAAGCTAAAACAGACCATTCCATATTTAATTTTTCAATATTGAAAACGGTGAGTTACGGAAATGAAAACTCTTTGGTTTTACATAGGCTAACGATTGAAAGGTTCCATGCATTCCGAAGCTAAATCTAGAAAAGTTTACTGATCTAAGAAAACACGCAAAAGCTGTCTTATTTTATAAAGTACATGACAAACAAACTTATGACTTTATCTATAGATACGTATTTATGTCTTATATCCGAGGCTATATCAAATTGAATTAGTTAAAGCCGTACCTTGAAAATTGATTATGAATTCACAATATCAACACCCACTAGTAATAAACTGACCAACACCTGACAAATTGCATCATTATTTTCAAAATGTATTGTTTCAATATGTTTCGTTCGTATTTCCTATTGTTCCACAATTTGAAGAAAAATACCGTTTACTTCATTATCGGAACATTCAGTTATAGTAGACCTGGGAATTAACAACCGATATTGTTCCAAAATTGCAGGATCGATGTTATTTTTTTACAAAAACTACGAGGAATATCAAAAAACGGATGATCGTTTTTTGGGTCCATTAAAAAAAAAATGGGTCAAGATCAGCTATTAATTTTAGCTGTTAGTTCTATAAACTCTTACTGTAAGATATTTATTTAATAAGTACCTGTACTAGATTATCCTATTTCAGATTCTTCCTATCTTTCTTGTGATAAATTGTAAAGTCGAAGACTTTGTTACTCTTCTTTTCCCGATTTCTCGAGATCTTCTTTGAGAAGAGATTAACTCTTTGACTGGATTTTGGTGTTAAATTGTTCTCACGTGGCATAACTACAGGGTGGCAAACCGGCGAAATGCCACGGGCCCCCAGCTGGGAAGGAGGTTCAGAGCTTTTCATCTCCTGTTCAGAGGTTTTCATCTGAACTTCTCAGTTTTTTTATTGGGAACGAGGGTATGGTTACGCCACTGTTGTGCTCATACAATTTAGCCCACAAAACTAAGTAACTAAAGAATTGTATTGTTAACCTAATTGAAGAAGAGTAACCTATGGAGTTTCTTGCTCGTTCTCCATAGGAATCTACACCTTGGATGGACCAAATAGTACACTCCACTTTTAAATTTTTTGTTGACGTTCAAAACTGCCTATCTGGTGTAATTGAAATAAATAATTTTGACTTTGACTCTGACTGTCCAATCTTGATTTCATAAATAGCGACAAAAGTTTCCCTTTTCGTAATTTCTAAGTGAAAGCACGTAATAAGTATTTTTTTACTTATTGAGACATGATTATCTCAATGTCTCCCTCTTCTCGCAGCCATTACTTATTCGAATGACAATACATAGATCACAAAACATTATTACGTATCTAAAATAAGAGATAGGTATACGCCTTGGAATGAGCAAATAGCTTCACTTTCAATTTTTTTGACGTTCAAAAGTGCCATTCTGGCCTAATTGAAATAAATGATTTTGACTTTGACTTTGGTATCTACAAAATATATTAAAATTAAATTGATCAAAAATGAACTTCTACTCTAAAAGTTCTGTTTGTTCGTTCTTAACAAGAACAGTTTGATTGGAAACTACAGCGAATAACTACCATAATTATAAATAAAAAGCTGTTAAATGTTGTTGCATTTAAAAATCTTAACAATTTATTAAGCTTGCATTTAAAACGGAACTGTAGGGAACATTTTTCGAATTACAAAAAAGAATATCATTTCACTCGATGCACAGTAAAAATCGATTGTCATCTCGCAGCAAGTTATTTTGTTTATTTATGTACTCGGCAAACTAGTTGTATGGGGGTAAGTAACCTGCAATGACAGTATGAATAAGCTAGCAGGCTTGAGGCTAAATACATGCTATCTCACCGGCACTAATGTAGAAACGAAATGAGATTATTTTTTGCAAAAAGTAGGTACATGTGAGTAAGAAAATGGCGACAGATAGTATGTTTCCCCCGCGGAACTAGTATGGTAATGACCGGTTCGTTTATCTAGTCGTCGATGACCCTCGACGTCATCTTGTCCATCTCCACATTTGAACGGTGTCGCCTATACTCAATTTACCTTAAAAAACAAATTACAAGTTTGAAAAGAGATAAAAAACAACAACACAAGGAAAATGACACATGTGTGACCGGAGTTTGTAAACTCGTATAAAACGAACCGGCGCTCATTCTACTCCGGACTTTATCAGCGGATAACGAATCCTCGCAGACAATTAATTTTATAAAGACAACGAGAATTTAATAAATAAAAATAAATAATAGGTACAATACAAGTTGTTCGACAATATTGTGAGTGTTTGTATCGTGTGTGAAGTGAACGTGTTATTTAAAATCGGTATAAGAAAGTGTTGTAATTACCCATAATTAAAATGTTGAAGTTTGCGACAACCGTGACTCTGTTCCTTCAATTACTGCTACAAGTGCAATGCTGTAAGTACAATTTGATTTTACACCTGACACATTACTAGAGACGGCGATGAATCGGAACATTTTATTAATTACAGCCATTTTATGACCGAGTTTAATTGTGGCATAATTAGATATCCACTAAACTTGATTAGTTTGGAACACAGTAAGATAATGTAACTGAACATAGGACATATAAGTATTGAATGAATACTTCAAATTAAAGTACCATCGTCATTAATATGAAGTGTGTTTACATTTAATTCACAATAAACACTCGTGCGTCGATAAACATTGACTGGAGTTAACTATAAATATCTATAATTATGCCAAACACATAAAACATCAATAATGTATGTTAATTCTTTATAAATATAGGAAAAACGTACCTATTTAATAACAGTTACAAAACATTACCTGACAATAATAAAATAGCTTTAAACATGTTATTTTTTATATTGGTTTTTATTCAATAATGTTTTTGTTTATGTGGACATGAATCAATAAAAATAATAATGTGAAGTTATTGTAACTAAAGGCTAACGTAATAAATGTGTTAGGTAAGTTTTTAGTACAATTTTTATTACATATTTATTTATGTACACACTTACTGGGTATATGAAGAGAAATATACATAAACATTTATATGATATAACTATCGACATCAGCTCTAAATAACAGCTAATCATACATAATATATAACTATTGTTACATCATGACAGACCTAGAAACATAATAATTTACATACCTACCAGTACTTAGTAATAAAGGACAGGTTCAATGACCTTTAATCAGATACCTACTTCGTCTGAGAAACTATTCAGTCAAAAACTACAGAATACTTCTCAACACTATGTATCCAAGCAAACCGACAATATTTTTACCTAAATATACAGCCAAATACTTGTATGTATAGTATTATTTAGTATTTAATATTATATATGCAACCAGTCATTTTGGCATGGCATGCAGGCAAGAAAATAAGGATTGATCAGTTCAGAGATAGTAAACATTACTCATGACCAACCATTACGTTTCTGTGAAGATTTGGCTTCGTTCAAAAGCATAACATCACGTTTTTATCCTCGAAGGCTTAGGTAGGCAGAGGTGCACATTATGGCACTTAATGCCATTGCATAATGTAACACCCACTTTTCACTATTTATGTTATGAGTCCCATGAAATAGGAGTTGACCCTATTGCCATATACCGGGCACAATTCCTGACTACGTGCTACTACTGAGATTAAAAAAAAAACTCAGTAGTTCTTTCCCCGACCCAGGTATCGAACCCGAGAGAGCCTGGCAGTCGCTCTCTCGACCACTCAGCCAACAGGGCAGTAAAAAGTTTACCATTTAATTTGTCAATAACTACTGTTTCTTTTCTGAATCAATATTTATTTACTGAAAACCAAATTACTTGACTGACTGCTCGTTCCAATTCTACGTCACGGGTCCTCCTCAATTTGTCGAACCAATACCAAGATGATCTCGTTTGAACATCAAATTAGCTAACTAGCTTAAAGTATCCTATCACTTAAGACATCCCATACCCTGCCTGTGTCGCGGAGAACTTAACGGGTAACCGGGGCTCCGGCTCGACGTGCAAGAGAAGGAACGGGGTGGTTTTTAGTCAGTAAGAGTCTGACACTCCCTCCCGCCTCACCCAGGCGGGAGCCACTAGGGGGAGAATCGCTGATTTTCACCCCTTAAAAAAAATACCCTGCCTGTGCCAAACATGAAACTCCGTTTAGTACTTTCAGCATGATTGATGAACAAATATAGAAACATTTAAACAAAAAAAGTTTCACATTTATTATACTAGTATGATATACCTAATGGTTGTCGAATGCCATTAAAACTAGAACAGACTGAAATATTTTGCAATCATATTTTCTGTCCATATAAGTACCTAGTTTGTCATAACAATGTCAAAAGGATAACAGTGTCATCACCATCGTCAGTGATAAATGATAATACCATATTCCACTGCAGAACGACCTCTTTCGTAGAAGTTGTGTGTCCCGTCTGCTAAGCGTGTGAAGTAGAAGTAGAAAATATGGCAAAATCTTCTCAATAGAAGAAGGAACATAGCAGTGAAGCTTAGGCTGATGACGATATTATATGCTAGGTATATAGTGTAAAACACTGAAATGTAACTCAATTTTGAACTGTACTTGAATACTTGAGAGCGTCTTTAAATTCAGTTGTGTTTGAGTATTTAACCATAAGAGACACAAATTTATGTTCCAACTATTACAGAGAATAATGAAATTGCCATATTCCATACTATATGTACTTTATAAAACCTTGAGACCATGACTAACGGGGCAATCCGAAAATACATAATACAATACTGAATTTCGTTCTATGTAGATCTCCTGACACGTTTCCTAGAAAAATAGCTCGTAAAATAACCCGTGAATTATAAATATTTGTCTGCAAATGTCTTGGAATCACAGTTCATCATAGTTTAATACAATTATAGCATTTGTTCCGATCCATCGCCTTTTGAGTTACTATTATAAAACCCTTGCGTCATTGGTGAGCTCGCACCATAAAAGACAAGTTTACCTACTATTATTGTTCAAAACGTAAAATTATAATTATTATTTTTTATTAATTCAAGTAGTTTAAACATTTCATTGATTTGTTTACTGACTGTTTAACCCAGTCAAAGGTCTATAGATAAAATATTCTGCTTAAAAATAATACTATGACGAGACCATAATAGGGATTCCCAATATGTATTTTCAAGGCGAACAGGACTAGAGTTATAGGAAACGGAACGTTAGTTGTCATAAAAACTCTAAAACAGCATTTAACTAGTATAAATATTACAAAGAATATGAGAAAAGTTTCTTACGCCATATGAGTAAATACAAACATTACTTACTTGGAAAGTTACTCATATTATAATAACGAAATAACTAGACGATGATTAAGTACTTACTAATAATACTTATACATTTTGGAAAGTATGTCTCATTTACATTACCTATATCCCATACAGGAACTTAAGTCTGAATAGATACTCTCTTGTTTCAGTATATTCCGGAGACAACTGTTCTGTTGGCAATGAGTTGGGCATCTGTTTACCCCTGCGGCAATGTCGCCACATCTTCGAGGAAGTCATGAGGGCAGGCAACCCCATACCACCACACATGAGCCACAAACTACATACACTGACTTGCGGTTTTGAAGCTGTAATGCCTATGGTAAGACATTCATTTATGTTTTCTATTTCTTACTCATGCCTTCAACCTTCACAACTTCAGGATAAAAGGGATTTTCTTTTTTATCTCATCGACACCCTAAACACCAGAGTTGGTACAAGTGCATTGCCACCCTTGTGGGGATTAGGAATTTGAAGGTTGTTGGAGAATTGGGAGTTGAGGAGATTGTGGAAGGGGGTACTTCCATCCCAGGAAAAGGTGCTGCTGGTGTCCCATCCTTAATCGCTTTTCCCGATTGCCGGAAAGCAATTAACCTTCTCAGTTGCCCTCTATTCCATAAAAATGTTAATATCATCGGGATTTTTATTTTCTCGACTAAGTCATGATTAACAATTTTACCTTAAATAAAGGAGGCTGATTATTAGGGCTTTACACTATAGTGACTGCCCTGCCTAGCTTCTGACTGGATTGTAAACAATCCAGCAGCCCGATTCACGTAATAAAAACCGTAGCGATATCGTAGCGACTTAATCGTTTACGTCCTTTTCGTATTCACATACATCAGTCGAGTTCGATCGACACCGATTTTGAAGTCGTTCGATCGAAGTGTCGTTGAAGCGTATTCAGCTGTGTAAATCGTCTTTCAATCGTTAAGATGGTGGTATTCACGTAAACAAACGATGTTGGAATGGGTCGGCTATCAACGACTAAACTTCAAATCTGACGGTTGAAATGTCGTTGAAGTGTCGCTGAACAGAAGTACGTTTGTTTTGACTTCATTGTAACTAAGCTATTAATTTAATTTTATACGGACGAATTTTGGGGATTTTCGGTACAATAACTCCAGTGATTAAAAAAAAAATGAGTCTCGGGCTCGGCCTGTTATTATTAGATGCAGCTGAAAGAGAAGATAGACGAATGGAGCGAGTAAGGAGAAACAGACTGAGGTGTTCTAGATGGGATGCCTTTGAAATGCCAGACAGAGATTTTATAAAGACATTTCGCCTTTCTAAGATCCTTGTCCACGATCTTATTGAGGATATTACACCTCTAATAGAGAGAAATCGAAGGCAAGATGGTTTATCAGTGAAAGATAAGGTTTGTCTCAACTTATGTGCTTTTTACACTTAAATTTTATCTCATTACATTTATCTGCTTAGAATCTAATTTTGTTTTTTCAGTTACTGCTCGCCCTATCATTTTTCGCATCTGGTTCCTATCAGACTCTTGTTGGCCAGAGTGCATATAGTAATGTTTCTCAACCTACGGTCTCAAGAGCAATTAAACAGGTGACGCATGCTCTCAATTCACCCAGGGTTTTTCGAAAGCATGTAGTTTTCCCAATCACAAGGACACACAGAGAAAGAATAAAACGAAGGTAACCTACCTATAACCTTCTTTACTAATGCCATTAAGTGTAGTAATTGTACTGAATTAATTTGATATTTCTTACAGCTTTTATGACAAATACCAAATGCCGGGGGTTATTGGTTGCATAGACGGGACTCATGTTGCAATTTTGAGACCCACTGAGCACGAAGAAAGATATTTTAACCGAAAGGGATATCATTCGCTAAATGTCATGATAGTAAGATTTTATTTATCTATATATGTAGTTACTATATTCCTGCGAAATAACGAAATCCAGACAACAAGTATATAATAAAAAAA